TAAATTTAATAAACATGTATGCACCTGGGTGACACAGTTGTTTTATATTTATTTATCTACTTATTATTTCTTTAATAGGGTTTAGTCAGTGCCTGTATCGATGTATGGTGTCGGTAAATATTGATCGAGAACATCATTGTATTTATTTTTCAAAAAATCTCTTCGACGGACTGCTGTCGTGGAGAGATAGGATGGAAGAAATGTATGTGTATGTGTGTGGAATGTGTGAATGTGTACATGTGTGTTATCCATCTGATAGACGTATAAAACCCAAAATTATACATTGTCATACCAAGTTAGATAGTATCATTTCAATTGCTTGTCTCATATTATAGGAAGTTACTAAAATAACAGTCGTATTATAAGTTTATATAAACATATATGTAAATTAAATTTCGATTTGTGTATATTTATATTATTTATTTACATTATATATATTATGTATATACTGATATAGTATAAATTTTATGTTTACTTGTTAATGTATTTATACATATGTTTCAAACTTGTAATAATAATTCCTCAATCTTCTCATATGACTTAGTTTCGAGCCATTTAGTAATTGCTAACTTGCATTCACGAACTATTTTCTTGTATAGATCCAGTTTTCTGTTTAAACTATTATATAGATATGAAGCCCTGTATTTGTACTGTCTACTAGCCGCAGTAGTTTTGATTTTTGGTACCAGCGCTATGTTATAGTTTCTTCTTCTACCTAATACCCCAGGTTCATATGGCAAATTTTTATGTTGTTTTATTACAATGTATATAGTACATAAAGTTTCCTATATAACAGATGTTAGTTTTGTCAGCTGATACAAACTTTCAGTGGAATAAATTGTTTTTTAAAAATACATTGTTGTGATCTAACCACGTTGTGCTCGTTCTGTTTGAACTAATTTTCATTTTGCTGCACCACCCCAGACAGGAATGCAATATGCAATAATAGATTGTACAAGGGAAGGAACATAAATCTCTTTAAAGAGATCTCGCTAACCCTCTTGGGCGGGTGTTGTGGGCGTAATGGGATCCCACAACGACGCCCCCGGCAACCCCAGCTTCCATAGTAGCTAACTTGACTCTATGCCTCAAATAAAGTCCTCAGTCCTTTTTTCTTCCCATTACAGCCAAGGTCGGTATAGAGTTTTTTTTATTATTTATAGCACGACATACTTCCTGATATAGGTCAGGTTCACGTTCAAGCAAGGAGGTTACTTAAGTTCAAAATTAAAACATTCGCTTAAAATGTTATCTAAACTGAAATTTTGTTGCAATTCACATACTATACTTAAACACTTATCGTTAAGAATTTCTTATAATTGTTATTAAACTTTCGCGTTGCATTGTACTAATATTTGGAAACGGGAATAAAGGCGTTTAAACCACAATACAACACAATACAATACAGTACAGTACAGTACAGTACAGTACAGTACAGTACAGTACAGTA